GGGTTGCCCCCCCCCAGCACCCCCAGCCTCCGGCAGGGACAGGGTGCTCCTGGGCGCCCGCCGGCAGCGGGGATCTCATCCACGACCTCTGGGACGTGGCAGGAGCTGGCCGGGGAGCACGACCTGCCTCCTCGCCAAGACATCAGCACCACATGACAGCGTGCCACCACCGTCTGCGTCACCACAGCCCCGCGCTGTCACAGCCTCCCAGGCAAAGGGATGTGGCTCCTCACGCGGTCCGTTGGCTGGTCGGTAGGTGAGCGTGGGGTGGGGGAGCGCCGAGCTCGCCAGTGGTGGCTTGAGGGGACAATGAGCTGGCTGCTGGCAGGGGAACCCGTGGAAGGTCCTCGTGGGAAGCTGCCTCTCCTCAGCCTGGAAGCCACAAGCCATTGCAGGCTGGGATGGTACATGGGGAGGGGGCTCCAGGTGCTTACGCCGGTCACAAACTGTTCATGGGCCTTTGCTTTGGCCCCTGTCTGAGCCCCAGTAGTGGGGGACAAGAACCTTTGCCCATCCAGGACAACTATTTGACATTCCTCTGCTAATTAGCTTCATGCCAGGAGCGAGCTCTGCGTGCAGGCAAGCCCCAACCCAGCAGCAGGTCTTCTCCTTGCCCTCCTATAAGCTCCTCCTCGAGCTTTCCCCTCCTGACTGTGTCCCCAGGGCAGCCATGGCCATTTACAGTGTCCCTCCCCTGCTCCTCGCCAGCTCCCCACTGGTCTTTTCCCCCTGCCCAGCGCCCGCAGACGAAGCCCCAGCGGCGCGGCTGCGCTTTCTCCCCGCAGAGGCTCTCGGCGCGGGCAGGCTGGGGAAGGGAAGCCTTCCTCCAGGGCTGGGAATCCCCTCCTGCCCTCCTCCTTCCCCGAGGGAGAGCCTGACACGGAAGGGGAAGGGGTATTTTTAGCTCTTACCCTACGGTTGTTTCAAGGATTGAGCTAAAAAGAGGAATTTACCTCAATGAAGGATCGCTTTTGCTTCAAAAGGAAGCCTTTTTTTTTTTTATTTTCTTTCTTCCTCCCTACTACTCAGTCATTGCAAAACTTTTCTGCGAAGAGGGATTGGTAAAAATCACCTTTCGTGGGAGGCAGTGGGCTCGAGCAGGAGATGGGCGTCAGAAAGCGCTGGACACCGATCCCTGTGCTGGCACTGGGTCCTGGTGCCCTGGCCCGGCTCCCACGGAGACCTCGCATCTCAAAGGAAGGGGATGGGGTGGCACGAAGCCCCTCTGCCCCAGTGCTCGGCGCAGCTCCCAGCACCGGCGAAGCCACAGGAT